TTTCCGGACCAGGTGGGGCTCGTTCGGGGAACTTTTTGAGATTTCTATAAAAGGGGGATGAGATATTTTTTTTTTTCATCTTCCCCACTCTCTTGCACGACCTGAAGCTTCCATGGCAGCCCAAGGGAGGCTGCCACCTTCTCTCTCCTTATTTGAACTTCATTTCTTTGTCAGAACATAATAGGGCCTTTGCGTTTTGTGTTCGTGTTGACTACGCGTTTCTTTCACCCTTATTAGAATCAGTTTTTGGCCAAATTTTGAGTTCGGGTTTGAAGTCAAGTTGTGATTTTGATGGGGCTTCTTGTGGGTTCATGTAGATCGTGTTGTCCCCGACAGAACCCTTCGGTATCGTCTGATTCGGAGCACTTTTTTTTCGGTGGGCTTTTGAGATTTTCATCGCAAATTGAGGTAGGGGATGTTTTGGGGTTATATTAATGTTGTATTGATTGTTATATGAGCATATACAACTTGTGAGCATGCCTTGTTCAAGTTATAGAATTTAATTTAATTATTTTCTTTGTTTAAGATTTAATTTTCATAATGCTAGGCAATTTAGAATTAAATTGTGACATGCTAGAAATTTAAGCCTTGGTATGGTGGTTGATATATATTAAATTGGGATTATTTGAATAAGAATTACAAATTTTATTTAATATTTATCTTTTGTGAAAGTTTAATTCACCTAGTTGTATCAAGCATATAATCAACTTGTAATGTGATATTAAAGTAGGCCTTGGTGAGTTCTTTAACATATATCAAATTGAAGACATTTAGATATGTTTGAAAATCTAGAGAAAATTAATTAATTAGCTTAATTAATTTTATTTTTAAGTGTTGTAGGCACTTAAATTGATTTTGGGTTAATTTGAGTTTATTTGGGATTAATATGAAATCTAGAGACTTTTCATGTTAGGTTTAAAATCCCTTTTAATGTAGTGAAATTAGTTACCTTGTGAGCATATTACTAATTGGATGTAGAATTAGTACTTAGGGCCTCTTAAAATGGTAATTGGACTTAGCATGATATAGAATATTATTGACTTGTAAATCTTGTTTAAATATATCTTGTGTAGGTATATAACTTGTTAGAATATTACAATTGTTTACCTTGAAAGTTTGTTACTAAATTGAAGCTTATTTAGTATTTGTTGCTTATGATGGTAATGTGATTCAATTGTTGTAAAAAATTCTTACTTTGTGTATAATTGCACATTGGAGACTTGACATGTCGTATGCTATTTAGATTTGAATCTTAGGACATGGTTTGTGTGGATTTAACCTTATTTGTGCATGGAAGATGGTTTTATGCATTATTGATTTTGATATAAGTTTAGTATAACTTATTGATTTTAGTATAAGTTTTGAACTTATTGATTATGGGAAGCTTGTAAGGACGTATTTCACGTGATGAGTAAGGTTTGGCTCTAGTACGGAGATAAGAATCTTTTAAGTCATAAGTGCGCACTAGGTAGTACCTTGTGGGTCGTAATTGCCCGGAATAACTTATGTATGTGCGCACTAGGTAGTGCCTTATGGGTCGTAGTTGCCTGGAAACACTTGCTTGGTCTAGTGACCGCATGTCCTAGTCTTTCCACTATTTGATTTCGCATTTAATTTCAAGTTGTTAATCATGGATTACTTGTAACTTGAGAATTAATGCTTGCTTTGGATATTTGAATCTTATTTAGTATACTTGAAACTGTATATTTGTTTTGTGCATTTAGATCTCATATAGTGTATTTGAACTTGTATGCTTGCATTGTGAGTTTAGATTTTATTTAGTATGCTTGTGCCGTGTATACTTGTCTTAGGCGTATCTCTCTTAGCTTAGTATACTTGTGTCAGTATACTTGATTTACGAGATTTTCATATAAAATGCATACTTGTGTAAATATGCTTAGACATTGCATGACTTGTCTTAATGTGGTTTAGTATACTTGGAAATGTATGCTTGTATGTTGTATAACATGTTTAACATTGTTTAGTATACTTGAGCATGTATACTTGTATGCCGTTGTTCATTTTAAATTACATGAGTAGCTTAGGATGCTCCCTGAGTCTCATTTTGATATAGACGTTAGGTGGCATGAGCCTCTTTGACATGTTTCACCTTAAGGTGATATAATTGTAAAATGCTAGGTCGATGCATGTTCATCTCCTACGAGTAGCTTTATGTTACTCACCCACGTAGTGGGGACATTTTTCAGGTACCGGGATCAAGATTCGGGATTCACATCATGCTTGGATGATTTGTAGACTTGAAGTTCTCATTTCTTGTAAATGTTGGCTTGAAATGCCATTTATAGCTTTATATGTCAAAATGTGTAAATTTGATTCTATTTTTGTAATGTGTACATAAGTACACTCCTTATAATGTCTTTGACATGTATGAGATGAGGCCAGAAGCCAATGACATGTATCTTGCTTTCTATGCACTTTCGTTTTCAAGGCTTAATATGAAAATGTTGAAAAATGCTTAGACATTGTATTATAACTTTTGCATCGGGTGTGGGAATCTCATTTTTATTCTTTTGTAGAGTCTCATTAATCATGTTTGAAGTGTGGCCAAGGGCCAAACGATCATTTGAAATCATTTGTCAATTTTGGCTTCCATATTTTCAATTTCAAGTTAATTTTCGCCTTTTTGGCCGTTGGGGGGTCGGATTTTGATTCAGCCATTTTCGGGAGCCGCGAACCATTCCCGCGCGCTCAAAATCACCATTTCCGTTTGCGTACATGATCGTTTCCCGAAAAAACCCTTTCCTTTGTGATTTGAGCTTCCTATGGAACCATTTTTCAATTTTGTTGCATAATCTGTTCTAGGAGCATTATAGACTTTTCACATTAGTTTTATTTTCTTCTTTTGATATGGTCGCTTAGAAAACGTGATTTTAGGGGAGGTTTCTTCTTCGTGTTTTTCCAGAAAACATTGTCTTAGTACCGGAAATCCCTTGTGAAGTTTCAGTTTCTAGTTTCATTTTAACAGCTTTTTAGCTCTTTTGACCAGATTTCTTGGGAGGGCATATTGGCCATTTTGCAGTAAGTTTTTTTTGAATTCTCTTTCGAGTTACATAGAAAACTCAATTTTGAGGGGGGTTTCTCCTTTGTATTTTTGCAAAAAAATTCATCTAGGCCTCCAAATTCAGCCTCTGTTCTGGAATTTTCTGAAAAAAAAACCACACAGCAGCTTTATGGGCTGTTGCCAGCCATGGTGCACACAGCGGGTGTGCGGCGTGCATGGGCGCGCGCATGGGCGTGCGCATGGGGCTGTCATGGCCCCTTGTCGGGCCGCCGCGACGTCAATTCTTCTTTTGGGCTTTTCTCCTTCGTCCGGATTTCGATTGAAGTGAATTTTTTTTTGAACTTGATTAATTTTTCGTTGTCTATCCAACGGTGTGCTCAGTTACACCCGGATATTTCTGGATAATTACCAATTTGCCCTTAAAGCTTTAAGTGTCTGTTTTTCGTCGTCATGCCGTTTCTCCTTCGTCCGGACTCCGAATCATGCGATTCTTGAGTCTATCTTGATTAGTTTTTCGTTGTCCTTCCAGCGGTATGCTCGGTGGTACCCGAATCTACAATTTTCAAAAATGACCATATTGCCCTTGGGGGCCTATTCGGTCTTTTTCTGATCATTCGTTCCCGCATCAGTTCTCATTGAGTTCCACGACCTCATGGAATGTCACTTTGACTTCTTAGAGTCTTACTTTCTATTTTCGCTTTCGCATTCGGATCCGTTATCGGGTCAATCTTCGGTTCATCACAGGACGCACTGGCTTGAAAAACCAGGGCCGTCACAATTCTAAAATACTAGGGCTGCAAGTTGGGTTGGCCCAACCCAGCCCAGTCCCAACCCAACCTCAACCCGAATCGGGTTGGGTTGGGCCAACCCGAATTATATTCAACATGGGTTATGATTATAACTCAGCTCGAATATTTTTTGACGGCTTGGGTCGGGTTGACGGGTTGAAATATTTTTTTTAATTTTTTTGTTTTTGGAAATTTATATATATATATATATATATATATTATATATTTGATTATATTATTATTAAAAACAAATTATATATATATAGTATTTTATTTAGGGCAAATCACTTTATCCTTCCCCAATCGCCTCTCTCTGAACTTGCCTCCCCCCTCTCTCTCTCTCTTTCTCTGCAACAACTGCAAATTACAAAATTTACAAGAATCAGAACTTCAAAGCCCATATATTTCAGTTTCATCTATCTGCAACAATCAAAAGTTCAAAACCCATATCGGTATATAATTTCAGATTGTTCAAAAAATAAAAAACCAAAATTTTCAGTTTCCATCGTCCGCTGTTCCAGATCGGGTTCGCCGTTCGCCGTTGGCAAAGCTTCAACCGCTATCTCTCAACTCTCAACCATTTCAGATCGTTGAAAAAATCAAAATCCAGATCTTTCAGTTTTCATCGCCCGTTGTTCTAGTTTGCCGTTCGCTGATTTGCAAGCTTCAACCGCTGTCTCTTAACTCTCAAGCTTGCCCCCCTCTCTCTCTCTGCAACTGCTACCTTGAATGTATGGGGACGGTACACAGAGAAAGAGAAAGAGAAAGAGAAAGAGAGAGAAAGAAGAGAGAGAAGAGACAACGGAGGAAAAAAAAGAAAAAGAAAATTCTTTTTTTTATTTTTGGATTTTGGGTTGGGTTCGGGTTGAACCCGAACCCAACCTGAATATGTCTGAGTTTTGACAAAATCCAATCCGAACATGAATCCGATTTGTAAACTTAAAGTCCAAATTTCAAATTTTCAGGTTGGGCTGGGTTAGTCCGCCCAAGTTGCAGCCCTATAAAATACACTGTAATACTTTACTATATATATATATATATAAAATAGAAAATACTTCGGCTGTACACTTGATTACAACACAAATCTCCGATGAACGAAGAAGGGCAGGAGCAGTGACACTTGTCTGTCTACTATTGGTTCTTCGAATATGAGGAGTGTGTGTAAATCACAATTCATATTCATACTATTCTTTTCCATTCTAAAATACAGTGTAATACTTTACTATATATATATATATATATATAATAGAGAATACTTTGACTATACACTTGATTACAACACAAATCCCTAGTTTTCAAGGCACTTTTTTGGAGATCTTGTTCGAACGCAAAGTATCTGGGGATACGATGCGTGTCTTCTCTCTCTATTTCTCTCTCTACTAGGTCTTTGAATAAATCCCATCTCGATCTGTGAGTTTTCGATGCAGTGATCCCTTTTTTGAATTACATCTACTTTCTCGGGAAAATCTCTAATTTTCCGTTCGATTTCTCTGGGTTTCTCGTTTTTTTTTTCTTTTCCCAGTGGGTATTGGATTTGCGACGAAGAGCTTGAAATTGAAAATCATGGGTTTGTTTTCAAGCCCTAGGAAGGGTGGTTTCGGTCGTTACCTTTTTGTCATCGGCGTTGTACTCTTGGCCGTCTCTGGCGTTTCAGCTCAGGTATTGCTTAAGTGCTGTGTGTCTAGGTTTTATTTCATTATGCATTGATTGTTTTGAGCTTGAGTTTCAGGAATCTGGGGCTGATACCGACAGGAATGAGTCAAGTGGATTAGATCTATGCCGGCACCCCTGTTTTTGTCTTGTTTAGTTGCTGAGCAAATTGTTGAAAGATGAAATTATATGCTCTGTGTTTTGTCATAGAAACGTTTTATCAGATACGGTTTTTGGCATTTTGAGGTGTTTGGTTGCCTGTAATTGCTTTACAAATTTTTTATTGTAAACCCTTAATCTTTTACTAAGGCTCCCCCGCTTTGGAAGATTAAAGCGAACGGATCTAAGTTCAATTAAAGCGTGAAATTATTAAATTTTAGTTTTAAGTTTTTAATAATCTGTTAAGATGAGCTTATTTAAGTTTAATTATTAAATGAGTTGAACTTAAATTTAAATTTAAGATTAATTTCACTGTCCCCTATCCAAATTTGGTTAAATATCCTATAAAATATCTTTTAAAAATAATTATAACTTACTTTATAAATTTTTATTCTGTTTTTCATTCACACTTTAACTATAAAATAATGTAAATATCTTTAAATTTTGTCAAAACAATTCTTTGACCTAAATAATTGGATTAAAAAATTAAGATATATTTAAAATTTACAAATTATATAGATATACCAGACATATCTCTCTCTTTAAAAAAAAGGAAAAAGAAAAAAAAGGTAAGCATATTTTGAGTTCATTGATTGATAGAACCGACCCACTTTTCATTGTAAAAGGCAAACGTAATGGTAGTAGTAGTGCGCCTCGCTAGGGAGCTTTAGCCAAAAGACCCAGTGGAAAACCCGATCCAATGCATCCAATACGGCATCAACCAAAGATCAGTCCCAATCTCTCTAATATGGATTTGCAACCTTCGCGAATCAAAGATGCGGGATTGGTCATCTTACTGACTATGGGATTCACGTTGATCCTCGCCTTATAGTTTGTTAAAATGAATCCATTTTGTCATTCAAATTCGAATCTTCACTCTAGCCTCCATGATCAGCTTGCCACAGGAATGGAATTCACCACCACAATCACCACCACCATCAACTATGGAGAGGACAGGAACAACCTTTTATATATATATATGATATATCTATAATTATAAATTTGTAGTGTTTTTAGATATATTGTAGTTTTTTTATTTAAATTTTTTAAGGTTAGAGAGCACTTTTGACCAGGTCAAAGGATATTTAGGAATAAAATTGTCTTTTTATATATGTTTAACGGAAGCTAGGACGGAAAAGTGAAAATGAATTTAAGAGATAGTTATTTTCGAAAGAAACTTGAGGGTGGTATTTAACCAAACTTGAAGGGCTTGTTATTTAAAATGTACAAATAAAGGCTTTCAAATCAATCTATTCACCCTGATTCTTTTTTCGAAAGGTCTGTAAGACCGTTGTCAATTATGCCACTTTTTTTCTCCCCTTACGGAAATCCAACAGGTACCTGTTTTACCATTGGACCTCAAATTCATTAAATTTAGTTGGTGGAAATCAAGGTTTTGGAGGGTTTTCTTTTTTTTTTTTTTTTTTTTTTTTTTTTTTTTTTTTTTCTGCAATCCACAAAATAGTTACGAATATTATGTGGCTTGCTTGCTTGGTTTTCTGTTTACTAACATTCTGACAAGAGTTTTTAGTAGATATAATATTAAATGATGAACTTTCCGAAAAAAAAAAAAAATAAATAAATGATGAACTAATGCCACCCTGGCAGCCTAGTGTATCATAACCACATATGGAATGACATAATGTTAGGTTCTTAGTTTGTACCATCTCAAATGAACCCAATGTAAAAAATTCTGCTAAGGCGTTCTCACTTTTTTTACTGGTATCTCTTCCCCGTTATGAATTATTTCTTGAAGATAGCATTTCTGGTCATTTTCTTCCCTTTTTCTCCCCTTAAAATGCATTCCAAACAATGATCAATTTTGTTCTTTTTACTTAAAGAGGTAAAATAATATGTACTGTTCATTTCACTACTAGAAAACATTAAATCATGGAGTGTGAGATTTGAAATGTGTAATCACCCAATATAACAATGTAAACTAAGTTTTAGAACACTCTTCCGTTGGTTTTGTTACCCATATTTTTTCGCACGAGCAAACATTGCATGTTCCCTGTTTCTCACTCCATATTTATGAATGCCATGCATGTGCATCATTAATTTCTTATTTGTTGGGTAAATTTACAACACCTAACTTTGTTGTGCTTTTCTCCTATGGTTTTATGTAAATTTCTGGGACAGATGGTTCTTGAAAAACTTGGGAGTGATTGGAATGATCAAGAAACTGTTGTTCTACCTGTCAATTTGGATTCTGGTCTTGGAGTTCTCGATGCGTTCCTTACCAGTTTGTCAATGATTATCGTCAGCGAGGTTTGTGCACTTACTTCATAGTATATTGCCAGTTTCATTTATACACTCATGGTCACTACCGAAGTTGTTTATTTTTGTATCCATGTCAATTTTATGGTGTTCTCTAAAGGATCACAATTTCAATAAGTTGCATGATACGACTACTTCAAAAGTGAAAAAAGAAACAGCTTCTCAATAGCCCTTTTTAGTATATTTGATTGCTAAATGCAGTTGGGCAACAGCATGCTGTCTTTCCTCTGATGAATTTTTTAACTTGTGACCGTGCTGCCAGATTGGAGATGAAACTTTCATAATTGCAGCTATTTTGGCAATGCGTCATCCCAAGTCAATTGTTTTGTCTGGTGCACTAAGTGCCTTGATTGTAATGACAGTAAGTTTACTATTAAAAACCATTTACTCTTTTCTATTTCATGTTATGGCAGTTAAAATTAACTATGCCAACTATTTTCCCAATTCTATTTCATCATATGATCTTTCTTTTCCTTCTCGTTTATGCTTCTACTGGATTGGTAACTAGGGCTGCAAATGAGCTGAGCTGAGCCGAGCCGAGCTTTAGGCTGTTCGGGCTCGGCTCGTTTGTTTATGGGATCAGCTCGGGCTCGGGCTCGGGCTCAGCTCGTGACGAGCTCAAAAATTTGAGCTCGGGCTCGGGCTCGTCTTGATTTTAAAAGTTCGGGTTCGGCTCGTTTAATAAAAAAAAAATAAATATAAAATTCAAAATTAATTAGTATTCTACAGGCCACAATACCTTTTTCCATTGCTTTATCAATTATCACATAAGCAAAAAGAAAAAGGGCAAAAAAAAAAAAAAAAGGTGCAGTAGTGCAAGCTTTTATGTTTCAAGAACAAATTAAGGGTTAATTTCGAAAAAAGAAAAAAGGACAAAATTGAGCACGAGTGCATTATGCATTTTCTATGAAAATACAACACGTCAAAAAGTTATAAATTCCCATGATACTAATATCTATAGAACCACTGAAACATTGTATATATTAAGTAGAAAAAGAAATCACAGAGGAAAATAAGTTGGAGATAAATTAATTTAGCTACCTGTGGCCATTGAGCATTAGTCTTCATAAATTTAGAGGAAGCAGAAGAAAAGGCTAAACAAAATTGTCTGTAACTGCCTAAAGAATGTTTTGAGGTTGTCCAGATCCATGGAATTAAAGTGAAAATAAAGTTTTGCCAAAAAATTAATTGATGCAGTACCTAATTGATGGCAAGGACAAAGGATGGCCAACGATGATGACAAGGATGGAGGGACAGCGGCACAGACGACGGCGGGAAACGGACGACGTCCATGGCGAAGACAGAGGACCGCGGCCGACGATGATGATGACGGACGATGCATTCAGATCTGAGAGAGAGAGTTATGGCGATTGAGTTGATTAGAGAGAGACAGAGAGGTAGTTGTGTAGATGGAAGGGTTGTCGTCGCCGGTGGAGTTGATTCGTAACTTGTGAGTGAGTGATAGAGAGAGAGAGACTGACGATGTTGTGGAGAAGAGGTAGATCTGAATGGTGGGATGTAGTTTTAGGGTGTTTTGATATCTTACAAAATCAATGGATGAGATGGGTTCTAATTTAATGGGTGAGACGAAATCTTATTTGGGCTATGGATCTATGGTGGATTTTCTTTGGGCTAATGAGTTATAATGCTTGGGCCATATTAATGAAAAATATGAGCTGGTCTAAACTTAAAAATAATATGGACTAAACATTTTAAATGTACAATAAAAACAAATGGGCCTGATATATATAGAATGGGCTTGATATATGTAACGAGCCTGATACGAGCTTTGTTCACGAGCCCTAACGAGCCTTAACGAGCCCATGTTCACGAGCCTATGCGAGCCGAGCCCAACGTTGCTCAGGCTCGGCTCGTTTAGTAAACGAGTCTAGAAATTGGGCTCAAGCTCGGCTCGTTTGCTTAATGAACGAGCCCGAGCCGAGCCCTTAACGAGCCGAGCCCGAGCTGTTCATGAACAGCTCGGTTCATTTGCAGCCCTATTGGTAACCTTTATCTGTTTATTGCAGTAGATGGCTTTAGTGATTTTGAAGCAGTGCCTTCTAGTTTTTTTTCTTTTATGGGAATTTCTATAAGAGCAAATATGTTGTACATGTGATTTAGGTACTTTCCACTGGACTTGGTAAAATCGTACCAAATTTGATATCGAGGAAGCATACAAACAGTGCAGCTACAGGTATTATTTTTCAATTTCAATTACTAAGATAAAATCACACATTCTTTTCCAGTTCAAGTGTGATGCTTCCTTCAAGAATTTTTTTAGTAGATTTGGTTTGGTATTTAGTATATATGTTTTATATATATAGAGCGACTCCCAGTAGCAAAACCAGACCTGCCCCTTTGCGGATATACGAGATGTGTAGCTTTACTCGTTGCTTGATAGTAGAAAGATTGCATATGGTTCTATACATTTTGTATTAGAGTCCGCTTGTAAGGAGGATAAATGGGAGGAGAAAGTGGAGGATGAAAGGCCTAGGGGAGAGGGAAGGGAAAGGGAGGAAGGAGGCAAGCCCCTTCCCCATGGGCCCAAGAGTGGGAGGTTAGGAGGAGTGAAACATCTCTCTCTAAATGGTCAAATGCTGCAATACACCTTCACTGCTTTCCACATTTCATCTTAATCAACCAAACAGCATGAGGGAAATGCTAATACTTTTTCTATATTCCAAATTTTCATCCTTCGTATCAAATAGAATGTTGAATGTTCTTTAAGTCTCCTAACACACGAGTTTTACATTGCATCATGAAGGAAATTTAGTGTTTGCCATTTGGATCTCATAAGCTAGATAGACACCTAAATTCTGAATTTTCTTTTATGTTTTATATATATATTTTTGACAAGCGTTTTATGTTTTATATATATATCCAGTTCTTTATGCTTTTTTCGGGCTGCGGTTGCTCTATATTGCATGGGGATCAGATTCAAAAGGATCCCAGAAAAAGGAAATGGAGGAAGTATGTTTTGTTACTCAATACTGTTATTCAGTAGTGATTATTAGTTTTTGTTTCACTTTAATTGCAATGTCTTGATTTATATTTTGATAGGGGCTGGAATATAATGCTTGTTGTTCTTTACCTTTGGCTATAGATATTAGTTTTTATTATAACTATTCTAGTTTTTGATGCAATTTGGTGCTTTTCCATCACTTATTTCACTTTTTGTCCATTCAAATTATTTTTATAAAAAATTGATGATAATTCTATTTTTATGCTTTCAAAATGATTATTTTGAACATTTATAGCACATGATTGAATTTTTGACATATTATTGTCTGCCAAGAATTATCTTGGTCGTGGTTGTGATTTCGGTATTTGTCTTTGAGCTCTCAGTGCCAAATGTCATTGCTGAAAAAATGAACTATTAATGTTAGAAAATGAATAAATTGTCAATGCCGAATACAATGCCTGGCCTGTTGTGTTAGTGACACTATTTTTTCTCCCCCAATTGTATGTCTATGAAACAATTTTCTTAAAATGTTGCATAGTTAATTATGTATGAGAATATTAGTATTTGTTGCATAATTGTGCTGGTGGTGGTTGTGATTGTGACATTCCACTTAGAGGCATTGACTTGCCAGTGTCGATATTACAAATTAGATACGATATATATATATATATATATTGGTTTCGATAGGTAAAGGTCTCTTAGCGACTGGAAAATGCAAGAGGAGATGATTCACTAGCTCCTAATCCCTCATACACTTGCAGAATTTTGGAAAAATTGTTTACCTTTGATTGCATACTGAGACGCATTGAATGTGCAAAGGAGTCCTGTAACACTGGAATCTAAAATTTTAAATGGAAAAACCACTTTTGCTGCAAATTTGATAATTGTCAATGCAAGAGGGGATGATTCAAGGGGAAAGATATTGCTATGACAGCCTATGAGTGTCAAAAGAACAGTAATGTTGTGATTTGACGACTAATTGGGATGGAGTAAGCTTACTCCGTAAAGCATCACACCCGAATTGATATGTCTTGAATGGCTCTTTGGGCGGGGAGTAATGCTTTGTCATTATGTCTTGAATGGCTCTTTGGGCGGGGAGTCATCTTTCCTTCACATCTCTCAAGTCTCCATTGTGTATTTTGAAAAAATTGTACCATGAAATCAATCTCATCAAATGCTCCCTTCGTCCAAAACAATAATCTTATCAATGGTTGTAATTTTGCAACTGGATTAGCGAGATGTTGGCCAATCTAAAATCATTCATAAAATTTCTAGTTCATCATGTTCTCTTGCAAAAGGCTCATAAAACCCTCTCTCACACAGTGTAAGATGTGTTACTGATTTTATATTGTGCTTGGTTTCATCATTTTTCAAGCATGTCTGATCAGTGTTTGAATAGTTGCTCTAGCTAATATTATTGAGTTTGCAATATTTTTGCCGACTTTCATGCAGTTGTCAAACATGTTGTAATCTTTGTTGTTTGTTCACTTGCTATCATCCCATAATTTCAGGTAGAGGAGAAACTGGAGGGTGGACGAGGGAAAACAACAGTCCGTCGTATCTTTTCTCGATTTTGTACACCGATATTCTTGGAGGTATGCCTAGTGTGTAGATACTTGTAGCAAGACACTAAGTCTCATGAAAATCAACTTCCTTTAATGTTTTGTTGTTTGTGCATTCTCAAGTTACCTAGGTTCTGTAGTCCTGTAATATTGTGGTACATTTTTATTTTGTACATTTTTGCCATTAATTCAAGAGAATAAATTGAAATGTGACTGATTTTTGTGTGTGTTTCTTTGTGTCTATACTTTGTGGTGCAGTCTTTCATCTTAACCTTTCTAGCGGAGTGGGGTGATCGTAGCCAGATAGCGACAATTGCTGTAAGATAATTTCTTTATCCTTGAATCTTTCTTGGCCTATATATGTTCTATTAAGGAGTACATAAACAACATTCATTTATCAAAAAGAATTGAAATAAAAATAACTGGACCAGCCTAATATTTAGGATTTTGTGCTCTCCTTGTTCATTTGCTCAATCAAATGTTATCCTTTGAACCTCATATTTGGAACACATTCTATTTTGTATGCTGAATTTTATGTCAAAAGCTTGCCGTTTGCTTTCCGTAGCCCATATAAAACATGGTGTTACGATTGCTTGGTAATTGTAAATTGTAATTGGCCTCTTCTCGTCGAAGCCTTTAATTGCAACTACAGATTTGGGCTGCATTTATAGAATATATATGTACTATATATATATATATATATATATATATATATATATATATGTATATATATTAATTTTCTCGATTCTGCAGCTGGCAACACACAAAAGTGCAATTGGAGTTGCAGTGGGAGCTACTCTGGGACACACCATCTGTACATCATTGGCAGTAGTTGGAGGAAGCATGCTAGCATCCAAGATCTCACAAGGCACAGTAGCTACCATTGGGGGTCTGCTATTCCTTGGTTTTTCATTGTCATCATATTTCTATCCTCCAACCTGATTGTTTTGGAGCAGTTCTATGCTCCTCTATCTCTATCTCCATCTCTATCTCTCTCCATTCTTTTAAAAAAACTCTATTTTCCTGCTTATTCTTTTATACAATATTCGTATATGAATACATTAATTATTTTTCCCATTCAATTTTGATGCATGCTTACAGGAATCAATAATTTTGAATTGATAAACAAAAATGATTGACCCCTTCAATAGCTGTGTTAATGGAGGCAGGGAGGGGGACTAAAACTCCCTCCTGCAACATAGTGTGTTGTCCCGTCTAGTAAGTTATGTACCTTATAAAAATGTTGTGATGTTCAATATTTTCGTAACGTACATCACTAACTGAAGGGTACATGAGTACTGTATTGCCCGGAGAGGATTTTGATCCGGAGGGAGGGAAATGAAGAGAGTTGAAATAAGAATGAATTGTTGAGGAAGGTATTATTCAAGGATTTGGATCCTCTAGGGTGCATATAAACACTTCTTGTACTTTGTTGTACATTAAAACCTTGGTTATCTTGCTGCATCACCTATTTTTAGGATGATATAATTTTAAAAGTAGAATAGTTTTACGATTTTAACCCTAAATTTAAACAAAAATAATGACGCGGCAAAATTATTAAATATTTTATAAATGTTCATTTATCTTATCTTAGGAGACTTGATACATCGAACCTAAAAGTCATACTCACCCAATATGCGTGTAACTTAGATGATACACTCTTGCCATGAATATTTAACAAGAAAATAATGGAGTATTAATATTTGATTCAATTGAGTAAAAACTATCATATTAGGAAAAATGGCAAAGTGCAATAAACTCCCATCGACTATTAGTGTTTTGCAATAAACCCCTTGAATTAAATTTTAGTCAAAAAATTCCCTTCAACTATTCAAGGGGTCAATCACAATCTTGGGTTAGTAGAATCCAGATTTTTTGTGTTATTTACGTCACTGCGTTTGTTATTGTTGACGCTTAAATTGGCTCCTAAGATCCGATTCGGAATTGATATGTTGCGGGCGTGCTAGAACCAATTATATGGTTCGAGTGTGAGTTGTCAACTGCAATCTCTGTAACGACTCCAACCCGAGGGTTCGAATCGCTAACCGGGTCCTTATCCGAACCTGAGGTCAACTAAGGACACTACCGTTCTTTCTTACGTTAATACATAGTATACGTGTCATCCCAGGGTTTGAAAACAAATAGTAATAGCAATAATAATAAAATGAGATTATAGTTACAAAATATGTCAAAATAGTCCACTGACCCATCGAACCCTGTGGAGGAGCGTTGTCTGCTACTTCCCTTCCGTATCTTGAAAAATGTTAATAATAAAAGGGTGAGCATAAGCTCAGTAAGAAGTATCTAAGATACACTTCTTATGAATTCGTGAATCCATATGAAGAATAGGTAAAGGCAAACGGGATCATGCCATATGGAACCGGAATTATTAAACAAATCCCTCATCCGAAAAAGTCGTTCCCTATGGAGCTGTGCCGCTTTCTATGTCCAATAGAATGCTGAAATAGAAAGAGGTAAAGGCAAACGGTAAAGTCAAGAACTTCTTGATTACTGTATGAAAGAAGTACATGAATTATTAAACAAATCCCTCATCCGAAAAAGCCGTTCCCCATGGAGCTGTGCCGCTTTCTATGTCCAAAAGAATGCTGAAATTGAAAGAGGTGTTCCTAGATTAGTTATCAATTACAAGCCCCTCAATGAAGTTCTTCAATGGATCAGGTATCCCCTGCCCAATAAAAAGGATCTAATCCAACATCTCGTTCATGCAACCGTTTTTTCAAAGTTTGATCTCAAGTCAGGATTTTGGCAAATCCAAATTGCTGAAAAAGATAGATACAAAACAGCTTTCACGGTTCCTTTTGGCCATTACGAATGGAATGTGATGCCATTCGGATTAAAAAATGCCCCTTCAGAATTCCAAAAAATTATGAATGATATTTTTATTCATCTTACGAATTTTTCAATTGTTTATATTGATGATATACTAATATTTTCTTCTTCTATAGATGCTCATTGAAAACATCTCAATGTATTTGCTCAAACCATCAAGCATAATGGATTAGTCCTTTCTTTATCAAAGTTAACTTGTTTCAGACCAAGATTAGGTTCTTAGGTTTCCAGATCCACCAAGGAACTGTCATCCTAATCAACAGATCCATCCAATTTGCTGATAAATTCCCTGATGAAATTAAAGACAAAACCCAGCTTCAAAGATTTTTAGAGTGCCTAAATTATCTCTCTGAGTTTTTCAAGGATCTTTCTCTTCTTTGTGCTCCACTACGCCAAAGATTAAAAAAGTCCCCTCCCCCATGGTCCGATGAGCATACAAAAACAGTCAGAATCCTTAAAAGTAAAGCAAAAAACCTTCCTTGCCTATCTATTGCTGATCCAGAAGCCTTCAAAATTGTGGAAACTGATGCATCTGAATTAGGATATGGAGGTATCCTAAAACAAAAAATAGGTGACAAGGAACAACTAGTTCAGTTCGCCTCTGGCACATGGAACCAAGCACAACAAAATTACTCTACAGTCAAAAAGGAAATTTTATCTATACTTTTATGCATTTCAAAATTTCAAAGTGACTTACTAAATCAAAAATTTTTAGTTCGTGTTGATTGCCAATATGCAAAAACTGTTTTAAAGAAAGATGTTCATAACATAGCCTCAAAACAAATTTTGGCCAGATGGCAAGCTATTCTTTTTGTATTTGACTTTGATATTGAATATATAAAAGGAGAAAACAGTTCTCTTCTTGATTTTCTCACCAGGGAATTTTTGCAGGGAAAAACAGGAGCTTATGGGCGGTTACTATGCCTCCCAAGACAGGTAGAGGAGCCTCAGTTGCAAGCACAAAACCCCACAAAATAAAAGATGCATATGCACAATCATCCTCTTCTCAGAACCCTTCCAAAAAAACCTGGTATGATAAAGTCGAGGAAGATGAAGAAGCTATGTGTGCTAGTCCATCTCCATTAATTACAAACCAGTTTTCAGCCCTAACCACAATTCCCCAACATGTCATAGACATGTCCCCAATCCAGTATGACCCCATCCAAGCATACTTACAATCCCAACAACCAGTTTTTCCTCCCCTTCAAAAAACTTATGCTGCAATTTCTTCAGCATCAGATAAACAAATTTCCTCAAGATCTGTTTCACAGCAAGTGGTGGTCAACAATCCCACTCTAAAAAAATCTCGTTATTTTCAAAAACCAAATTTATCAACCATTTGTGTGGTTGAAAAAGAACTTTTTAACCAAAACCTAGTTTTACTTTCTCAAAATCATTTTGTCAAAGGTTTTCATTATCCAACATCAGATTTTCGGAAAACACAAAATTTTTATGAGTTTATTTTAGTGGACACTGATTTCATCAAAATTTGAACTCATTCAAAACCAAGTGATGAGTCTTTCATTTCTCACACCACATGTACCATTCAAAAAGTCCTTACTCCGGCAGCCTGGGATGAAAACATCAATGCTCCGAGGCAATTTTCTCAGCCTCGCAACCCTCAAACTTTCAATTACTGGGACTATCAGGATGCCTGGTACAATACCTTTTATTTCCAAAATCAGGATTATAGCCATTCATGGCTTATCCTTTTCCAAAAGAATTTTAATCTAAATGTCCCCAGATGGTTCATTGACTGGTGGAATATGTTTGGTCCCTGCCAAGAAATCATCCCTGAAACGGTGTCCAAGGGATTTTCAATTTTCAATGAAAAATTCCAAGCTCCTCCTGAGCTTTCCGAATTTCCCAAATCATTCTTATTTTTTTACAAATTTTGCATTGTCATGGATAGTTCTATGGCAATTCCAAATCCTCAAAACCCCTTCTAATCTTCCTCTTCTAGGAAGGATTTTCAAAGTCAAATGGTGGGACCAATTCTCTATCAAAGATGTTACTCCAGAAGTAATTTCTGAATGGTTCTCAAAGCATCCTACAATATCATGTTCTGGCTTAGGAGAGTCTTCGGCTTTTCGCCTATCCAAAAGCCAGGCCCAAGCAAAGCTTTCTTCAGCAAAATCCCAAGATGAGTATGAAGCCTTCCTCATGGAAGCTTTAGCCCAAGTCAATCCCATAGCCTTCTTAAAATTGGGCTCCAACAGAAGTGAAGGCTCAGGTTCTTTCCAAGGTTCCCAAACAGATCTGGCCCAACCCAATGAAGATGACTGTTTTGGTATTTTTACCCAACAGCTCCAGTAAACAATATTCTCAAAAATCATCATTTCATTAAAAAAAAAAAAAAAAAAAGCTTCTGACCTCGGTCATTCAATGCCGTTAAGCGGCATTGCGATAAAAAAAAAAAAAAAGAAAAAAAAAGAAGGCAAAATCTACAGTTTAAAATTTTATTTAACAGTTCTCTATTTTCAGGCTTTTAGCACCTTTCGGTGTTCATGACAGACAAACTTTTCAAAAAAGGAATCCAAGGCAAGTCAGTGGCCATCACCTCAATTCAGCCTTCTGGGCTTTGCACATGGCCTCCAGCATCATTCAGAAGACATCACCTCAAATCAGCCTTTCAGGCTTTGCGCATGGCCTCCTGCTGCATTCTTATTTCTAAGGAATCCAAAGCTCCCCAAGGCTCCTTCGAGACCCTATAAATAACAGCTCCTCAAGACATTGGAGGCAGGCTCATTTTTCAAGTTTAGATTTTAGTTTCCGTTTCAAAAGTGCTCAGTTCAAATTGTAATTTTTAAGTTTAAGTTTTTAGTTTTACTTCATCCAAGGAGCTCGGCTCAGAACAAAAGTGTTGTATTTAAAGATCAAAGTTGTAAGTTCCATATTTTAATCAAAAGTTCTTCAAAGTTATTCATGTTCCCGTTTGCCTTTACCTATTCTTTGTAAATATATATATAACACCACAACTAGCATATAACCAAATATCATCCAATCACCCATATACCAAATATACTAATGAGATGCAATGTCATGCTAATGTCGCTCCCCGTTTTTCAAAACAATTCCATCATACCGTTCCAAACCGTTAATGCAATTCGGCCCATAGCACCTCTGTGGGGCCACGAGGGAAGGATTGACTAGCTTTCCCCGACCACATGGCACCTCCATGGCGTCGTCTGGGCCTAGGTAGCTCAACCTCCCTCTAGATCACATTA